AAGGTTTCAGGTTTACGGGCTCAGGGGGCCGTTAGCAGCTTGACAGCTTTCTTGCCCTCTGAAGCCCGAACAACCACAATCCGAAATGACCCGAATAACCCTAGCAAGCCTAGGTAACCCTAGTAATCCTAATTATCCCTTAAAAATACTTAGGTAACCCTAGTAATCCTCATTAGCCCTAAAAAAATACTTGGGAACCCTTTCACCCCCTAAGGCCCAAAAGCCGCAAAGCCCTGAAGCTCTGGAGTGCCTGTGGAGGGCTTTTGGGGAGTTTGGGGTTAGTAGGGCTTTCACGCATTTACTCGAGTTTAGGGTGTATGAGGTTTAGGGTTTAGGGTGTGGGGTTTAGGGTTTAGGGCTCTACCTTGAACCACAACCCCAAAAGCCCCCCACAGAGGCGACGCCATCGGCCTGGAGAAGATGCGGACGTCGCCCTACGCGGCGCAGCTCCAGCGCTGCCAGTGCGCCGGGCGGGTTTCCGAGTCGGCTGCAGGGCTTCCACCCCTGAGCCCCTCGAGGTTTAGGGGGGCTTTAGGGGGTTCAGGGGTTTAGGGATAGTTTAGGGTTTGGGGGCTTAGGGCGCTTTAAGGCCTGGGGTTCAGGGTGTTCGGGGCCGCTTGGGGTGGCCACCGAAGAAGCTCTAAACCCCTAGAGGCCTTCACGCCCTGAACCCTAATTCCCTGTGAACCATAAGCCCTAAAGCCCATAAGTTACAAACCTCAAAACCAGAAACCCTAAGCATGCAAAGGTTTAAGAGGGTTTAAGCTGAGAGGCTTTTTCAGCCTCAGCCATTTGAGAGCGGCTGAAGGTTTCAGGCTCGGGGGGGGGGGGAAAGGTTTGTGTAGGCTATCTTGGCGCACCAAGCCCCCCAAACCCCCCAAGCCCCAACACGCTATAGACCTCAAAGCCTCGACCCTATGCACCCTTATGCACCCCCTAAACCCTAAACCCTAAACCCCCTAAACCCTAAACCCTAAACCCTAAACCCTAAACCCTAAACCCTAAACCCTAAACCCTAAACCCTAAACCCTAAACCCTAAACCCTAAACCCTAAACCCTAAACCCTAAACCCCTGAACCCCTCAACCCCTGAACCCCTGAACCCCTGAACCCCTGCCAGGACCCGGGCAAAGGACGAGGAGACGGAGGAGCTCATGGCCTCCAAGGTCCAGTCTTCTTCTTTGCTTCTTGGGGACGAGATCGGCATTTTTTTAACGTATAGATTTGGAAAGCTTTTTTTTTAAGGAAAGGGGGGGGGGGGGTTGGGGCGTTTTGGGGTTTAGGGTTTAGCCAGCTTTGCAGTGTAGGTGTAGGTTGCTCTTTGTGTTGGAATCGGACTTTGGTGCTCTAGAGGTTTCGGGGTTGCCATGCTTCCTTTGTGGTCGGTGTCGTGGTGTTTTGCTTCTTCAACCTGATGACCCCTAGGCCCCAAAACTCAAAGCACTAAGCCCTACAACCGAAGCCCCTACAACCCTAGACCTTGAGTGCTCAGGGGCTTTGTAGGGCTTATGAGTGTTTTCGGGGGAGCTGCAACAAGCCCAGAGGCCGACGCTCAAGCGAAGACGCAGCACCTAACCCTTTAGACGGCGCAATCGCGTCCCCCGATGCGAAGGCCCCCCCCCCATAGCCCGGAAAAATGTACCTCAAACCGAGAACCTTCAGCCCTCAAGGCCTCATACAATGCCTTTCTTAAACCATAGGCTTAAAAAACCTAAACCCTATGAACCCGAAACCCTGAGCATGCAGGTGGTTCCTTTAAAGACCTTCAAAATCTGAGAGTCGCCAGTGAGCTGCCGCCTGGGTCCTTGAGGGTTGGAGAGGGCTTCGAAAAAGCCGGAGCTCATGATCCAGGGCATAGAGGCCATCTAGGGAATCTAGAGGGTTGGGTTTCGGACATAGGATAGCGCCGACACACTTGCCGGTTGCAGAGCATCGGGTGTTGGGAGACTGTAGCAAAAAGGTGTTAGGGTCAGACGCCTGAGGGCGATTGCGCCCTCTGCTGAGCAGACGGTGTGGTGTCACCTCCTCGTCGATCGACGTTCTTTGCAGCTTCTGCATCGTGGCCTCTCCGAGCACCCCCTGAACCCTAAGCCCTAAAACCCTGAACCTTAACCCTTACAACCCCAAGCCCGCAACCTCTGAACCCTGAACCCCTGAACTCCTCCAAGCCAGGATCTACAAAGCACCCAAGGATGAGAGAAGCCTCATCTTACCAGCTCTCAATAGGGAATTCGGGAAACTTGGCGCCTCAGATTTCCCCACAAAGAACCCTCCTGAACCACAACCCCTAAACCCTGAACCCCAAGCCCTAAACGCTTTACAATTTCCCTATTTCCCTATTAAGAACCAGTAAGTCATAGACAGTCTCTGCACTCCGAATGAAAAAGGCTTCTTTGTTCAGCCCTGGGGCAGGGTTTAGGGGTTTAGGGGTTCAGGATTTGGGGGTTTGGGGGTTTGGGGTTCCGGGTTTCAGGTTTCGGGTGTCCTGAGGTGAGGGTGCATCTTGCATTTCAGGGGTCGGGCTTCAGTGTCGGTCAAGTCAAGCCGCGACCATCGGAAACCTGCTGGACCGAATCGGAAAATGCTGGGGCGAAATCAGACAGCCGGGCCCTCAGTTGGGAAAACGGGGTGGGCCCTGAGGAAAGCCAACGGCTTCACTTGCGAATGTCGCAGCAGGTGCGGAAAACCGGGAAACGCGAGGCGAGAGTTTAAGAGTAGGCTCAGAGTTTCGAGTTTCGTGCTGAGGGTGTGAGAGACTTGTTGCCTAAAGCCCCAAAGCCCAGAAAACCCTCAACCCTCAACATCACAGGGTTTAGGGCCTGCTCGCGCCACACGCCGTGTGCGGCTTTCAGAGAGGGGCTGGCCGTGCGTCGCCAGTGCCGAGGCTCTCCACCTTCGCCCCAAACCCTAAACTGTAAGCCCTGAACCCTCAGATTTGCTGCAGACTTTTTGGGATTTGTCTTGCTGTTCTCTAAGATAGCGGTTTCTGGTTTGGGCGTTGTTTTGGTGATTGTGTTGTCTTTCAGTGTCCGGCTTTACCTGACCTTCCATAACTCCCAAACCCTCAGCCCTAAATCGCCACAGCCTAAGGCCCTTGTCGAACCTTAGACCCCAACAGCCTGAACTCCACAAGCAGACTTCCAAAAGCCCAAACTTGAATACACTGAGCGCGCGAGCCCCAAAATACCCCCAACAAGTACTTAATAGCGATTTTACGTTCTTCTTCTTCTTTTTTTGTTTCCTCTTCTTCTTCTTCTAATTGTTTTTGCACTACAGCCATGTCCGAAACGCATGGGGTTCCGAGCTTGCATCCCTTCGGAGGCGATGGCGGCCAGACAGCCCAGCATCACCTCGGAGGCGTTTTACTGGGGGGAGGGGGGGTTGGGTTTTAGGCTTTTGCGGGTTTGAGCAGGGAGGGGGTCGTACTTTTCTAGGCCCCGGGGTCTGCTTGGTGGAATGAGTCTTGCGGGGTTCAAAGCCCTGAAACTCTACAGCCCTGGCAGCCCTTGGCTTCATAACCTCCTGAAGCCTCGAACTCCAAACCTCGAGCCCTGGAACCCCTCACAACCCTGGAGCCCTCAAGCCCTAACCCTCAAACCCTGCAGTCCAAGAACCTCTAATATCGGGGCCTTAATGATCATAGAATAAGGTTCTGGGGGTTATACAGGGACCGTAAGGCAATACGATGGGTAAATTATTCCGACCCAAAATTCGAACCCTAACCTGGAGGATGAGCCTCCGCCCTCCAAGATCTTTCCCATCGAGCGGCCGCCTTGGAGGGCACCTCCAAGAGGAGATATGAGTCGGTTCAAGGTTTTGGAGTCCCCTAAAGGCCCCAAGCCCTTTTAAGGTGTCGTGGGGTTAGGAGGCCTTTGTCCGAAGACCCCTCGAAGCCCTTTAAAAGACCTCCCAAGCCTACACCAAGGCTGTTCATCTGCTGCCCCACGCCGGCCGGGGAGCTTGAACTGGGATTAGGGTTTAGGGTTTAGGGTTTAGGGTTTAGGGTTTAGGGTTTAGGGTTTAGGGTTTAGGGCTCAAGTTGGTCATCGGTGGTGACTTCGAGGGTTTCCGGTGCAGGGCCTAGGGCTTCGTTTAGTTGAAGGTTCGGCCCTTGGGGCTTAGGGGCTTCTTGAGTGACCAGAACTCCATAAGCCCTTAACCACCCCGAAACCCCTAAACCCCCTAAAACCTAAACCCTTAAACCCCTACATCCCCAAACCCCTAAACCCCTAAACCCTTAAGCCCTTAGCTTAAACCCCTAAGCCCCAAGTCCCCAATGTCCTCACAGCTCCACTGCCGCCTCCGCACGGTTATCGTGGGCTCAAGCCAAGCTCGCTCGCTCTTGAGTGTCTCGACTTTCCTGTCTCCAGCGCCCTGGCCGAGTTTGGTGTTCAGGGTTTAGGGTTTAGGGGTAGGGTTTAGGATAGATTCTTCTATCTTCTCCGGGAGATGATTGGCTTCAGTCCTAAAACCCCCTCAGCCGCCAAAAAACAACTTCCCCAAAAACCACCTTTAGCAACCACCCACCCCAAAAAACCCTGAACCCTAAACCCTAAACCCTACACCCTAAACCCCGCTAGACCCACAAGCCTCCGGGGAGCCACTGAGGTGTGCCCTCTGTGGGAGGCGATCTCCGCAGCTTCAAGGGTTTCGGGATTTTAGGGGTTTAGGGTTTAGGGTTTCGGGGCTTAGGGGGTTTAGGGGCTTGGGGTTTAGGGTTCCGGACTGCATATCTTGGGATTCCTCTTGGAGGTTGGCTCGGAGAGAGCGGAGCGCGGTAGATGTTGATAGCAGGTTTTCACGCTTGTGCTTCACGATCTCTTCTTGCAGCTATTGTCATCCTTGTTCGTGTCTCGATGATGATTCTGATGATTCTGTCTTTCTATGTGCTGTAGGGGTGCTGCCCGGCTGTTTGGGCTTAGGGTTTAGGGCGTAGGGTTTAGGCCTCTTCACTCTGGCAGGTTTCCCTGTGATTCTCATCGCACAGAGATCCGGGTTGTCATGGCTCCAACCGGCTCCAGCCAGACGCTCGTCTTCGCCTTAAAAAGACCTCGAAGTCTTGAAGCCCCCCCAACACCAAAACCCTAAACCCTAAGCCTAAAGTCCCAACCTTACACCCCAAATCCCAAACCCCAAACCCCAAGCCCCAAACCCCCAACCCCCAACCCCAAACCCCAAACCCCAAACCCTAAACCCCAAACCCTCCAACCCCAAACCCCAAAATCGAAGCCCCAAACCCTGCAACCACAAACAAATCGCAAGGAAGTCCTCAGTGACCGCGTCCGGAGCCCCGAAGCGCTGTGCCGGCCCCGCGAAGGAAGCTGGGCTTGCGAGAAGGGTTTGTAGGGGTTTCGGGGTGTAGGGGGTTTTTTAGGGGTTTAGGAGTTTAGGACTTTTGGGGTTTAGGACTGTAGGGGTTTAGGAGTTTAGGGATTTAGGGATTTAGGGGTTTTAGGGGTTTAGGGGTTTGGGGATTTAGGGGATTAGGGGTTTAGGGATTTAGGGGTTCAGGGGTTTAGGAGCTTAGGAGTTCAGGGGTTGAGGAGTGTAGGCTTCAGGGTACTAGGGTTTCCGAGGTTTCAGGTTTGAGGGTTTTAGGGGTTTAAGGGCCCAGGCCCGAGGGGCTTAGGGGTTCAGGGATGCCCAGGGTTTAGGGTTTAGGGGTTCAGGGTTTTAGGGGTGCAGGGTTGGTGTCGGAATCTCTTTTTTGCCAGGGACGTTGCTGTTAACTTTCTGGGGTTCACTTTGTGAACTTTTCTTGCCATGACTTGGGATGCTCCCCCTTATGCTAACAGTCCTGAATAGGGATTCTAGTACCCCCGTACTCTAATCCCGATTAATTAAGGATAAGGGCAGACCCCTAGCCCTAAACCCCAAACCCTCAACCCTAAACCCTACACCGTACACCCTCCCTTTGAGTGACGCCCGCAACACCTCTACACCACCACCAGGTCTTTTCTGCTGAAGTTTGGACTTCGCCTGTATGGCTTTCAGAGTTTTGAAGCCCTTCAAGCATCCTACACCCGGGGTTGTCTTAGGAATAATTCCATTTTTGGGTATTATACTTCCTAAGAAACAGATAATTTTTCATAATTCTTGCTAGGGTTCCAAGTTCAGCATAGGTCTAGGCTTTCGTGTCTTCGATTCGGGTTTAGGGTGTAGGGTTGAGGCCTAAAGCCGAAACCCGAAACCCTGAACCCTGAACCCTGAACCCTGAACCCTGAACCCTGAACCCTAAACCCTAAACCCTAAACCCTAAACCTACTGAGTGCCCCACAGCATCCGTGGCCGAGGATGCCATGGCTGGCCACATTGCCCATCTGAAGGCCTCCATAGGGGGTTTTAGGGTTTAGGGGCTCAGGATTTCCGATTCTGGATTGAGGAATATTCCAAAGTTGCGCCTTCGTTCGGGTCGGAAGGCCAGTGATATTTCTATTCCAGCTAGACTTAAACACGGATCAACTTATACACCCAGTAAGCCCCCTAAACCCGAAACCGTGAACCCTGCGCCCTAAACCCTTGACCCTGCAGGACATGGGCTTCTGTGAGTCTCAAGCCAGAAAGGCACTCGCCGAATGTGTCTGGGATGCTCGGCTCGATGTTAGGGTTTCAGGTTTGAGGTTTAGGGTTCGCAATAAGTATGGTAAGGGAAAGGCGAGCCCTTGGCGTCAAACAGCTACGAACCTTCAAGGTTGAAGCGCCGAGTACAGCCGTTGGGCAATGCAAGCCATATGTGTCCCGATGGTGAGAAAAGCTTCGATGCGCACTAGGGTTTAGGGTCTACACTCTACACCCTCAACCCTGAGCTTTTGACAAAATCTCAGGGCCGCTGCTGCTTCGGTAAGCTGAATCGCGAAGTGGCCTAAAAGCCAAGAGCGTTCTATGCCATCAATCAGGGGTAGGGTTTAGGCTTAGGCTTTGGCGTTAGACATCTGAGTTGAGGATGTGAACAGGGCTATTGATCTGCTCGTCGCACGAGGAGCGGTAGTGCCCCGACAGCACTGCTTTAGGGCTCCAGCATTGGAGAGGTTGGGGGGGGTTTCAAGGTTCAGTGGAAGGTTCAATCCTACAGCCCAATCCCCCCGAACCCCAAGCCCTCCCACCCATTGAGCCCTCGCATAGCCTTGCCTTTTTTTGGGGGTCTCAAAATGTAGGTTTTGGTTTAACTTGGGGTTTAGGGGTTTTGTGGGGTCTAGGCCTCGGAATTGTAGGATCCTGTGGAATCTTCGGGTTGAGGGGCTTAGGATCTATTTGCCTGAAGATGCCTTAAGCCCACTCCATAAATTCTCTGAGCCCTCTCAAGCCCCGAACCCTTCACGAGGTCGGCATCCCCAAAGACGTAGCGTCTCGCGACCCCAAGCCCTAAACTCCGAGACCCCTTCAATCCCTAAGCTCCTCAGCCGCTAAGTCCCTCAACCTCAACCTCCTTGACCTTGTTAGAAGCCCCTTAAACGCCCTTAATGCCCTGCACCCCCAAAACTCCCCCTGCCCCGAGCCAGCCAAGACCCAGGCGTTGGCAAGTCCCACACTTCCCAAGGGAAGCGTCAAGGAGCGCAGTGGCAGCAGGGATCAGACGGAAGTGGTGTCCAACAAGGGCATAGAGGCTCGGCTGCCCCTCCTTGGCGCCTCTTTCTCGTTTTTTAAGCCCATATTGAAGCCCCCTAAACGCAACCTCCCCCCCCCTCCCATCCCCATGAACGCGGGTAAAAAAGCCCTGTCCCACATGAAAAGCAGACCCTGGAGCCCAGGCGGCCTAAGTGTGCTTTCGTTGTTCGGTCATTGGCTTGTGTTCATTTTTTGTCATGTTTTTGTGTACCAGGGGGGGGGGCATTGGCAGCTTTTTGACACGTGACTCAAGGATGCTGACAACTCTACCACTGCCTCCGGGGTCTCCACGCCTAGATGCTGCCAATCCTTCTCGAGCTCATCCACACTGGAATCTGGTCGTGGGGTTGAGGCCTCAGGGGAGAGAGATGACAAAGATCGAAGAGATGACAAAGACCGAAGCAAGAAGTCAATTCGGCGAGTTTGCAGGAGAGTGACGTCGCAAGACGCTCAACAGCTCAGTGCCGAACCTGGCGACTTTGTGCGCGTCTGGCCCCACTCCGAGACCGAGCTGGGGTGGATTTATGCGGAGGATCCAACGGATGCGTCCAGGGCCGGGTGGTTGCCAAGTGCCATCCTTGAGCATAGCGAAGCTGGCCATGAGTGGCTGTGTGTACAGAAGGAGATGCCCGCCGTCCACGCGAATCAGATGGGGGTCGAAGAAGGGGAGATCCTGAAGGTCAACCTCGCCTCCCGCACGCCTGAGGGCTGGGCATATGCACAGAAGGCCGAAGCTGGAAAGGCTTCTGGCTGGGTGCCCGTCTGTAGCCTGCTGTGGCAGGACTCGCAGCTGTGAGTATGATGAATTCGCAACTGGCGGAAAGCCAGTTAGAGTAGTGAAACAGGGCGGGCCGGTTGGCCGAACAATTTTGTGTTCATGTTCAGACCATGCCCGTAGCAATAATCGTGCACAAGGATCGTGTCCAAAGCACCTTGGCCAGCCAAACTTCCCAGCTCGCCAGAGCTACTCTTGCCCATCTGCTCTCGCAGTTCTACGCATAAGGGGAGGGAATCTCCGAATACGTCTGATGGGGCTACCCTTCGCTTGCACCTTGAGCTGCGCGCGGATTGCAAACGGTGTGATCACAAAGGCCGGGCCAATGAAATCGCGTTCTGCATATATCCATTGCTGTATTTCACACGTGTAAGATATATTTAAGAATATTGTGTACGTACATTTCTTTCGTATACATAAGCATATATACACATGTCTACATTCTTATGTATTTATTTGCAGGCTTTTTGTTTGTGTGTACACATGTATTTACGCATGCGTGCATGCATGCATATATGTACACATGTATAGGCACATATAGTGTAGGCAATGTAGGCCTCTAGGCATGTCTAGCACCATCACAATCGTTGCCATTCGCATACTCAGCGTACATGGTCTTCTGTCAACTTCCGGGTTTCGGGTGTTTTGGTGCCTTGGAGGGTCAGGGTGGAAGGTCCAGGGGTGGCTCTCGCGCCACAAGGGCTCCATGTAAGGAAGCCCGACGCTTAGGGGTTTGGGGGTTTGAAGATCTCCTTGATGCCTTGCCTTTAGGGTTTAGGGTTTAGGGTTTAGGGTTTAGGGTTTAGGGTTTAGGGTTTAGGGTTTAGGGTTTAGGGTGTAGGGTGTAGGGTTTAGGGTTCAGGGTTCAGGGTTTAGGGTTTAGGCTTTGGGGTTTCGGGTTTTAGGGTTGAGGCGCCTGGCTCCCTGGCTGTCCTCGTTGTCTTCGGCGGGTGGCCATCCCTGGCTCCAAAACCCCTGAATCCCCTAGACCCCTTAAACCCCGGTTTGGGATGACGAACGGTCCTTCATGGGGAGTATAATTATCGCCATTAAGGGCGGTTTGCAAGAAGGTGGAACATCCCAAAGGATTAGGGGGTTTGGGCAGAAGGGGCTTAAGTTGCAGGGCTGTAGAAGGGGGGGGGGAGTAAATCAGCAAACTGCAGAGGTACAACAGTTGTCATAGCGACTTTGCCACAGGGCACTCGCGTTGCACGTACCTGCCGTGGCACCTCCACCCTGGGTTTAGGGTTTCGGGTTTAGGGTTTAGGGTTTAGGGTTTAGGGGTTTAGGGAACCCTTGGTTGAGGTCAAGGCGCTGCTACCGAGCACATGGCTCAAGCTGCAGGACCTTTGGGCGGGCTCGGGGTTTCGGGCTCCCATAGAGGGCTTAGAGTTTTTGACTTCTTTTTTTCGGGGGTTGTAGGGTTTTTGGATCCGGGGGTTGTAGGAGTTAGGGGTTCCAGAATTTGGTGTCGCGGGGTTCAAGTTTTTCGGGTTCCGTGGGGCTCCAGGATCGGTGTGTTGTGCATGGGGTTTTGAGAGTGCAAGGTTCAGGGGCTGTTGCGGTGAGGGGCTCAAAAAGCCACACAAAGGATTCTACAAAGTGGGGGTTTTTCAGATTCCCCGTTCTAGGGGCCCTTGTACCCCAATAATAGGATCCTTATGTTTATGTGGTTTTGCCACAGGCTGTTATGATGAGGGAGTGTCGCAAGGGGTGGTGGCTTTTGGAGCCCTAGTAAACGCTAAACCCTGAACGCTAAACGCTAAACGCTAAACGCTACACCCCAAACCCAAACCCCAAACCCCAAACCCCAAACCCCAACCCCCAAACCCCAAACCCCAAACCCCAACCCCCAAACCCCAAGCCCCAAGCCCCAAACGCCAAAACCCGAACCCCGAACCCCAAACCCCAAACCCTAAACTCTAACCCTAAACCCTAAACCCTAAACCCTAAACCCTAAACCCTAAACCCTAAACCCTAAACCCTAAACCCTAAACCCTAAACCCTAAACCCTAAACCCTAAACCCTAAACCCTAAACCCTAAACCCTAAACCCTAAACCCTAACACTAAACCCTAAACCCTAAACCCTAAACCCTAAACCCTAAACCCTAAACCCTAAACCCTAAACCCTAAACCCTAAACCCTAAACCCTAAACCCTAAACCCTAAACCCTAAACCCTAAACCCTAAACTAAACCCTAAACCTAAACCCTAAACCCTAAACCCTAAACCCTAAACCCGAAACCCGAAACCCGAACCCTAAACCCCTAAACCCCTAAAGCCTCAAACCCTAAGACTGCCCAGGCCCTATAAGAAGGACTCGGCTCAAGATGTACTTGTGGTTTAGGGTTTAGGCTTTGGGGCGGACCGAAGGAAGCCAAGACATTGAGCTTCTAAACCCCTGGATCCACGCTGTGTTCTGCGACCCAAATTTAGGGTTTATAAGGTTTTGACGGTTTAGGGTTTTTAGGGTCTAGGGTGTGGACTTCCAGGTTCAAGTTTCATGTTTCAGGGTGCAGATTTTCAGTTAGCGACATAGATTTGGTTACCCCCAAAATAACAGCCCTGAAAGCCCCTAACGCCCTAACGCCCTAAAGCCCCCTAAAGCCCCCTAAGGCCCCTAACAGCCCTAAAATTCCTGAAAGCCCCCCAAAAGCCCCAAAAAGAGCCCCCAAAGCCTCCCCAGAATCTCGAACCCGCCTAAATGCCCTCAAATCTCTAAACCCAACCCCTAAAGGCCCTGAAAGCCCAACAAAGCCCCCCAAAATCCCCTAAAAGCAAACCCCAAAAGCCCCCTAAAGCCGCAAAGAGCCCTTAAAAATTTGATTGCCCCTGAAAGCCCCTAACGCCCCCTGAAGCCCCCTAAAGCCCCTAACAGCCCAAACCCCTGAAAGCCCCTAAAACGCCCAGCCCCCGAAGCCCCCTAAGCCACCGAAAGCCCCTAAAGCACCTTAACCCCGACAAAAGTCTCAGAATCGCGCACCCGAACCCAGGACTGGACGCACCTGATCCTCGTGGCGTGGGGTCCTGGCTGAGTGCAGAGCGAGGTTCAGGGTTTAGGGTTTAGGGTTCAGGGTTTGGGCTTTCGGGTTTAGGGCTTTAGGGTTCAGGGTTTAGGGGGGTTTAGGGTTTGGGGTTTAGGGTGTTGATCCATGTGGCAGATCCCTTTCTTAGAGTACCCTGAGCCCTAAACCCCAAAGAGCGGGGCCGGTGGGGCTGAGGGTCTGGGAGTCTGGGCATTCGATTTCAGATTTTTAGGGTTTAGGGTTTAAGGTTTGCAATATATCCCTTGATTGAGTAAATCCTTCGCTACTTCAAGCGCAGCGTTCTGGGTCAATGTGGTCAGTTGCCCCTGAGCTACTCCGGGAGATTCGCTTCTGGGGCAGTTCAACTTGTCCCTCCCTTCCTTGGCTCCTCCTCGCCGCCATCTTGATCTGCTGCTGCAGCTACGTTTGTGGGGCTCTTTCCGCTGCCATCTTGTTCTCTGCTTCTTGTCGGCGGATCTTGGGCTATATCCTGCGCTGGGTAGCCAATTTCCTGGACATCCCTGCTTTGGGGCCTCAGTTGGCGCAGGGGCAGCTACAGCGACTTCGTGAGTATCGTGCATGAGCGACTTCGGAGGATTCAGAGAAGCAGGTACCCGACCCTGCAGGCGTAACGTCCTCTTGGAGGTGGGCAGTGTGTCCCACACCTTCGCGAGCAAGACTGAAGCCATCGTCCTTGCCAGCGCCTCTGGCGTACGATGGCCGCCCGTGCTTTGAATGCGGCGGAGATCCGCCGCTTGGTAGATGCCACTGTTGGGGAGCGACCTCTCCCTTTCGTCTACTTCCTGGACACCACGGAGCCGCCGGCTTGGCGGGCTACTGCTTTTCTGCTTCGACACCGTGCAGGAGGTTTCTTGGCCATTCTACCAGCCGACGATCAGGTTGCCGAACAGTTGGCAGTTCTCGCAGACGAGGGGTCACCTACTCCACTGCTGTACACCGAAGCGGACTTGCCTGCCGAGACCCCCAGGCGGCGGTCAGTCGGCCCGGTTGGAGCCTTCATCGTGGACGCATCCTGGGCCTCTCTGCACTTGTTCCGCCGAGCCACTTCTCGAGCTGCAGGCGCTCAACTGCTACCCACTGTGGCTATGACAGGGCCAGATGGCCAGGTGGTTCGTCCCATCTCCGAGACAGCACATCAGGCCGCCGACATCTGGATCCAAGGAGCTACTTCTGGCGAAGCCGCCCCACCAGCTGCCGAGCTAGCAGAGTACCTCACGGCCGAGAGCCAACTTGGAGATGGGGAGGACGAGGCAGACGAAAGAGCTGCAGGTGCCGAAGGCGAGCAAGTGGTCGACCAGGTTTCCCAGCTACAAGCTCGCATCCGCGAGCTCGAGCAAGCCAAATGCGCGACATCCTGCCGTGGTTCCTCAGGAGCCAGCCCGACGTGGTGCCCGAGACCTCTTTCCCGATCCCGGTCCTGGAGCTGCTTTGCCCAACTGGACGCCTCAGCCTGGGCCGCTCTTCGAGCTGCTGCCGGTGCTGCGCCACCACACCTTGCACGTCACGAGCGCGCCCCTCGAGCCGAGGCCTCCCATGTCTCCGACAATCTGCTTGCAGAGCTAGAGTTGGGAGCCACCGAAGACGCGCTTGGGTCGCCGCCTTCTACCATGGCTCTGCACCGACTGTTGTTAGCTCAGACTCAGTTGCTCACTCAACTTGCCCAGTCAAAGGAGAAGGACCCGATCAGCTCAGCCCTATCTGGTGCAAAGGAGGACACAGGCCTCGGAGGGCGTGGTTCAGCCGCTCGAGACGCTTTCACCCGCCTCCTGACGGACGACCAGACTGTTGCCAACGCTATCCGTCGTCTTGGTGCCGAGTCCCTAGGCCTGGACGTGGAGCATCCCCCTTCGAATTTGATGAGGCAGTTCGCAGAGAAGAAGCTACCGTCAGCAGACCTCAAATTGGTCACTTTGGTAGCTCACATGGCAGCTCATGCTTGGCAGGTGGGTCGAGAGACGCAGAATGTAGCGCTCG